CTTGTCCATTCCCATCGGGACTTCCAAGACCATGGTTCTCCCTAGTTAGTAAGTTGTCATGTGTATGGGGATCCCAGCTATGCTGGTGTCTCAATTCTAGCCTGGCTTTGTGTACTCCTAGAACTGACTGGGAAGCCAGGCAGACAAGTGTAATTTGGCTCTCAAGAATAGGAATGAATATGCTTGCTATAAGAGTAAGAAATACATATGCATGCTAGGTAGCTTGTTCAGGATTTTAATGAGTTATTTATGTTTATACTGGCCGAGTAGATAAAAGTCCACACCATAAAAGTCAATAGTGATTTTCCAGAAGATTGGATGAAGGGCTTTGGATGAAGTCCTTACTGATAAAAATTTGTATAGCAAATGTCTTAGTAGTATTAAGGAGGAATCAAAATCTAGACAAGAAAAATTGTAGGAAGTAAGGACTATGAATGATTCTGTGTGCCAAAATTTTATATCTGCTGATTTATATATTTATTGTTTGGCATGTCCTAATTCTGATGCACTGATTTCCGTAGTGACACAACTTTTGCTCAGTTGCACCAGTGTATTGAAGATTGGAGTATTTGGTGAATGGTGTATATTTAAATACTTGGTGCTACAACGTTTTGATCTGACTGCATGCTTATGTCATTAAATGTTAGTCACCATCAAATCTGATTTTAAATTATTAGGTTAACCTCCAGGCTTCCTGAATGTCAGGCATTTGAGAAAGCATGCAGCATTTCATATTCTAACATATTGTTGTTACCTTTAATTTTGGAGAATGTTTCTCCTGTCTGTATGACAGTTTGGAAAGGAGAGGGGGTGAGTGGGTGACAGCAGGCTTGGAAGATGTAGAAACGCATTCAGAGAAAGATGTTTTGGCTGAGTGAAATGGAGGACTGGAAGCAAGGCAAGAAGGAGAGGTGGAAGGTGCTTGCGTCTCATAGGGAAGTGAAGCTGGCTTAAACATTTAAAGAAAGACAACAGTAATTGAGCAGAAGAGCAATTACAAAGGGAGCAATAAAGCAGAGAGAGGAATACTGCACCACCACCAGTGAAAGGAAATGAGACACCCCCAACCTTCCCACCCATTGCTGTGTTCAGTAGGGTTAATTGAGTACATATAGGACAATGCAGTTATTGGAAATACATGGATCGATCTCTGTGCTCAGCAGGACTGCTTCCTATCTGCTTACTTGAATAGCAACTCCCTGTTCCTAGCATAGTGGGTCCCTGCTCCTGCACCTCACAGTGCAGCAAGCTGCTTCTTAAATGCTCCCACATTTAGAAAGCAGTCTACAGTGAAGGTCAGGGAGGAAAACAAAAGGCTTGTGCATGTAGAGTTAACAAGTATGCCTGGAAAATGTTTGCTGGATTGCAGCCCTTGTCTCTCTTGGACAAGGATAGCCAATGCTTGCATTCTTGCAGGTGGCGAAGGCATATTCTGCTTCTCAGAAAAGGGCCTGAAGCATGTTTTGTCATGCAAACTGATCACTCCATGCAGGTTCAGGCTTTAACACTGTTGGGAGCAAGTCTAACCCTTCAAGCGGAATGCAAGTGACCAGGGACCACAACAGACACACTGTTTTTGCTGCCTGTGTGTGCACAGTGGTGATGCTGGAAAACAAACACTGGGCAGGCCATTATAAATGGCTGGTTCCACAGCTGGGATGCTACATACAAATTCTTAAGAGAGATGTAACATTAGACGAAAGACAATCTTACAAGCCAAAAATCCTCCCCCCTTTTCTTATGAGTAAAACTGTGGGAAACATTTTATGACAACTTGATTAAAATTCAGTAGAACCACCAGGGACTAATTAGAATGGCGCTGGGGCCAGACTCAACTGCTGCCAGTTGGCAGTTTCTAAAGCTAGATGGTTCTTTTTTGTTATCAAGCAAAGCTCTGTGCTCAATGATTGTGTAAACTGGCTACCCTCACCCTTCATGTGGTGGGGTAAACAGAAGTTGTTTGTGGCTTGCTCACATTTCAAGGAATTCAGTGTTATACACACCATGTGTAGGTATAAAGTATAAAACAGCATTAACTTTAATGGGTATTCTGGGTAATGCTTCCTTTATATCAGAAACCTTTGGGGAATTGTTCAAGTTAAGTAGATGAGGGTAGCCAATGCAGTACCTTCCAAATGCTGTTGGATTACTGTTACCTGACTACTGGCAATGCTTGCTGAGGCTGTCAGGAATTTTAGTCCATTGACATCCGGAGGACATGTTGGTCACTTCTGAACAAGAGAGTGACCTATAAATAAATGGGCATTTCCTGAATGACTTACTGTAAAGTTTTCGAGTCAAAACTAGATGGCATGTTAAAGGTGTGTGTCTCTGAATAAATAGCAACCCATGGTGGTGCGACTTGAATCAGTGCCCTGTGTAGAGGGAGAGGTGTTAATTATCTATTAAAAGCCAGAAGTTTCTGTTTGCCATAGGAGAAGAGATGGTATAGCTACAAATAGCATCTCCCCTTCTGGGGCAAATTGGCCGCTGTGGTCTGGTGGTGGAGCATTTGTATTGGGGAAATTGCATGGGGGTGACAGATTTTACACTCCTTCCTCCCTAGGAAAGTATGATCACATTGGCATGTCTTCTAGTTTGACCAGGAGTTGTGCCAAACTACTTAGTGCCCATCAAAGGAACCAATGGTTTTTCATTCCTGATGACAGCCACAACTAATGGCAGCTAGCTCCAGAAGGAAGGAAGGAGAGACTTTATTCAGTTAGGGTAAACTAAATTACAATGTGACATTTCTTCCCATCTCCAAAAGAAAAGAACTGGAGAGAGGGCTTGTGTGTTAATGTGCATGCTACTGTTCTCAAAATATTCCAGTTTATACTAGAAAGGCACATGCAGGCAGAAACACACACAACAGAAAGTTAACACTTGAATTCATGATGAGAATGTAGGAGTTTATCTTAAGAAGTTTAAATACCTCTTTTTTAGTATCTGGTGAACTGTCCCCTTCGCAAGGTATCATAGGTTCTCTCTTAACTGATATGAGTGACTCTAAATTGTCATGACTCAGCTCTTCCTCTATATGAAGCCTTGCCAGTTGTTCTGTTACATCAGGGGCACGCCTGTAGAAACCTGAATCTTTACATTTTGACCGGCCCCCTTGGATTATCGCTAGCAGCTCTTCACAGATTTCTTCTTCTGGTTCGTCAGTCTCCATCAGGGTTCTGAATAATGGGTCTTCTTTGGAGAGAACAAGAGCAGGGCCTGCTATTCCTTGAACTTCCAGAGTTGTTTGTGAGAAATTTTTCCTTTCCTTGGTGAGGCTTCCTCTCAGCTCTCTGAAATTGCTACATTTACTTTCGCTCAGATTTACACTATTGGTAACAGGCTTACGCACACTGTCATGAAACCAGGTTGCTGGAGGAGGTGATTTACAGGCAGATGAAGAAAATGGCTGAGGTGAAGTTGGAGATTCGGGGATGGAGTGGGAAGCCTTTGGTGAGGTAATTGGAACAAAATGACCATGCTTTACTTGAGGAGTGATATTATCTGAATGCCCCAGCACGCTCTGCGGACCTGTCAAAGCTAGAGTGCCAAGTTCCTCTAAATCAGAAAGAAAGAGTTTGGGAAAAGGTGGAGGAGTTGGGGAAGGTGTGCTTGAAGGTGAGACGGCAAGAGTCAGTGACAACCATTCATCGGTGACAGCCTGAAGATTCCCTTTATTAGAATCTGGACAAGGAGAGGATCGGTACCTGAGAGGAGGGGATGATGCTTTGGAATCCAACTTGAGAAATAAGGGAAAGCATAGAAATTAAAACAAAGTGAAAAAAGGCAATGGGCTCAGGTAGGTGTGTGTGTGTGTGTGTGTGTGTGTGTGTGTGTGTACACCCACACCCACACACCCTATGACATCTCCTAGCCATAGGATATTATTTCATTGAGCATAAATGTCTGAAATCATTATCACATGAATCAGAAGAGCAGAAAGCATATCTGAAAAGTGAAACTGTATCAGGTTCATGCCCAGAGCTTAAATGTCAAACATCAAGACAGATCTGAATCACTGAGTTCATGAAGTGAATTTGATCCATGAGAGTTATGTTCTCTCTACTGTCCTTTAGTAAGCCTATGACTAACGGTCCAAATGTTATTGCCAAAATTCCCCAAACCATGGCTATTCTTATTTTTAGAGCAGAGTGGTGCTGTCAAAAAAATAAAAATGCAGCTCAGATTGGGGTACTATTAAATACTAGTAAATATTAACACCAACTGGGCAATCTCAGGTTGTGCAAGCATTAAAAAAAATTCATCACTTGACATGGAAACTTTGCAGAAACATTTTAAATACAACTGCATACTGCATTTGACGTATAATTACATGTCTTTCGAAAGTATACAGCATTCCGATGCTACTTATTGCACATCATAGACAATAATTGTAAACACACACAGCCATATATTTTGAATATCCTTATTGGCTGAATCATATTGTAAAATTAAATATTGATTGAAGTTTCCTTCTGGCAAAATAAAGGTCCTTTTTGTAAGAACGGGAAGAGTTGGGATTCATACGTATATTGCATCGGTAGATATCCATTGCTTCAGTAAATACTGAAAATGTAGTTTTTGTTATTAAAACTTAAAATTAAACCTTCATTTGAAAAGAAAAGATAAAAACTTTTGAGATAATTCTTGGAATGATTGAAATCAACTCTAGGGGTAAAGGGAGGCACCTTATACAGCATCAGACCACTGGTCTATCTAGCGTGGTATTTTCCGTACTGATAGGCAGCAGCTCTCTAGGGTTTTATCTACCTCACACTAGCCTTCCCCCCTTCCTCTCCCTCTCTGCACAGCAAGAGAGAGACAGAGCTCCGTGCGATAGCTGGTAGCCAACTGCCATTCTTTTCAACCCTGCTGCCACAGCTGGGGTGACACAGTGTCAGGATGCCACTCTGAGGAACACTCTTGCAAGGAAGAGGATTCAGTGACCCTTGAGCAGGAGGCTTGGCAGAGCTCTTTATTCTCTTTTTCTCTTCCAGGCTTGCCCTCAGCCAGGTCTCAGTGAAAAATACCCAGCCAGTATGGGCACCAGCCATATATAGATCCCACAGGGCCACTCTTCTCTTTCCATGATACAGGCTACTCCTGCTTGCACCAGTTGGTATGTATGGTTGTGGGGACAAGTAGGCCATTTGGACCTATATATGGGAGGGTGTGTGCAGGCCTGTGCACACTTCTCTGTGCTCTTCTGACAAAGGGCAAGTGAGCAAGGAGAGGAAATTGTTTCATAATTTTCTCTGTGATGCAGTTAGAGCAATGGTCCTCAATTTTATCATTATTAGGGACAACTTGATGATTGCTGGGGGCCTCAGATGACTACTTACTACAACCTTTTAGCTCTTCAGCACCACCAGTGCAGTATTGTGGAAATGAGGTGTCTGAGGTTGAGAAAAGTCCTTTTAACTGGTAATTTTTAGGGAAAAATAAGTAAACAGCATTTTAAAAAAATGAAGATCATGGGTCATAGGCCAGAGCCTTGCTATTTTGAGACATCTGTCCATGGTCAAAAGAGACTTGACCCCAGTCATTAGGAAAAATCAGGTGCAGGGCCAAGTACAGGTGATCTCTACTGAAATATAACCTTTGTGTGTAGACCACAAAAATGGAGCTTGCCGACCACTAGTGATCTGTAGGCCACAATATGAGAACCTCTGGGTTTGAGGATGATTTGAACTGATTACATGGTAAACATTAAAAGAGTTCATCAACTATATTTTTGGTGCTCAGAAGAGACAAGAGAAGTGGGGATGGAAAGAGCTCAACTGCTAGTCGACATATGTTTTGGACACATAGAGAGGGAGAAAATGAATTCTGTTTGCAAAATGTTAAAGCTTTTTCAATTAGCACCCCTCTAGTAATCATCTATAGATAGAAAATATTATGAACAATGACACATAAAGTGATAGTTCTCCACTAACATCCAATATATTCATGGATTGAAGAGATTTTATGGTGGGTGGTGGTGGTAGTAAGAGAGTCTATTCTCTCTTTTGTTATGAAACATTTAGGTGGAGAGTGTCCACCAATTGCTAGCTGCAACTGTATACTAGCAAAATACCCTACTGACACCTGCACATATTAAAGTGCTGGAGAAATGGCAATTAATAGTACATCAAAATGACAGTAACACCTCACATTCAAATAGTTTATCATAGTGTTAATCCTCTTTTGTTCAACATCTGACACTACAAGAGTGGAGATTTGAGATATGATTTTAGGACAGAAACATGGCTTGATGGACAGGATATAGATTGTGATCCATCAGTGGACTGCAGAATAATTTCTGATGAACTGTTGCTGCTGCCCACGCAGGTCCTCAACAAAAAGGACAGTGAAATACACACAGCACTGGCACCATACATTTCTGTATAAGGATGCCCATGCCTCTGTAGCACCAAGGCAGTCTATTCAAAGCTACCTGTGGGTTGCTGCCACTTCTACTAAGCGATAGTATAATTATTGCCTGTTGTATGCTATTATAAAGAATACATGCATTACTACACACATCTCCTCCCGTTATACATATTTTTATACACATCAGTTGCTTGACAAACTAGAAGGCAAAATTCAGAGAAGTGTGAATTTTGAAGGATAGCTTCATTTTTGTTTAGGCATTGTTTTGGGAAGTGCAAATTAATTAAGTTCACCTTAACCTGAAAACTGAACCAAACTTCTTCCTCATCACAGGTTTATACACGTGAAAAGAGGAACCTTCAATTTGACCAATCCACATTGCATTTACGGGAGCAAGAAACTGGACGAAGTGGAAGCAGCTTACAATAAACGGTAGCAAATGAAGTGGATTTCCATTGGCTTTAATACGGTTAGTGCTAACAAACTCTGAGAATCATTTTTTTAAAAAACAAAAAGGAAACATTTTTTAAATCATAAAGGTAACACAATGGGGAGAATTTTTTTTGATATAAATACTGCAAACAAAAAACTATGCATTTGTGTTTTCATAGAGGAAAGTATTGTAAGTATGGTAGTGCTGTGTGCTTGATCGTTTCAGTAAATATGTACCAATTCCACTGGTTAATTTGGCTCGAGTCTGTGCATAGGAATATTCTAGACATGTTTGAAAAGATCAAAGTTCTCCTTACCTTAGTTGAACTTAAATGATGTATTCTGTCGCTGGAATAACTCTGGGGTATTGGAGGAACAGGAGAAACATCTGCTCCTTTGGTGGCATTCTTTTTTATGATTTCCACATAGGACACGGGGAAGATTCCTTGTCGGTTAGTTCCTGGTAGTTTGCCTTCATACCAGTTTTGATCAACCCGTCTAAGGAGAATTACTCTGTCTCCCTGGAAGGCAAAACTTGGAAGCTGAGATGTGATAATTTTCTACAAAGCATCACATGTTCATTACCACCCAATCTTTCAGGTTGTGGGGGGTAGTGTAGTGACAAAGAGTGAGAGTTGCGAGCCTGAAAACTCCAACCCCAAAGCTCACCTCAACCAGGGGGTTTTTGGTACTTTCAGAATGGCCCACAACCACAAAATGAGAATAATGTGGAATTGAGGAATTGTTCCTCCTGATTTTTATTCCAGAAAGATAATTGTAAAAAAGATTCCTCCCCCTCCCCCCGGTTGCTCTCTACAGCAACTTTTCTTACTAGTGGAGACAGTTTCTAGTTATTTATTTCACTCAATTTATATGATTGTATTTTTAATTTTCCACTGTTGCTGTAACACACTGGAAAAGTGAGACACATGTAAAAACATAAGAAGAGTCCTGCTGGATAAGACCAAGGACCTATTTAGTCCAGAGTCCTGTTCTCATATTGGGCAACCAGGCGCCTGTGAAAGGTCTCCAAGCAGGAAGGACCTGAGCGCAACAGCACTTATTTCAAACAATATATTGTCTAACTTATAGGACCCTTTTAAAGAGATTAGCAAGATAGCGTATGTGAATTATTTCGAACACTTCAAATATGTGTGAAACACTAGGTACTATTAAAAGTTGACTAGTCTCTTGTTTTTCACCTGTTTTCTCATTAGATGAGCCACAAATCTCACCAGCCACAGTGTGAAACAGCAGCGTTCAGTTCCATCACTTCAGGTAATTTTAGTTCTGAATAACAATACTGTTTAAATGCTTACTTGACAAAGAAGCTGTTAGTCATTGCTTACCTTTCTCAGTGACAGTTCCACATTTGTATCTGCATTGAAATTGTATTTTGCAACAGCTTCTCCAATCTCTGCAATGTGTGCTGGGGGTGGTGGCCTTGCTGGCTGTGCTTTTTCGGGGGGAAGAAGTTTCTGGAAAGAGAATGGTGGTTGCTTTAAATCAGTCTATTCAGTTTGCGCAAGTACTCTGCAAAGCTAACACAGAAGGGGGAAAAAAGATGGCAATACACACAAACCTCAATGTAAGAAATTGGAAAAATCCCAACTCTTCCATAGTGTTCACCCTCATACCAGTTTTGATCCACTTTCCTGAGGATATAGACCGTATCGCCTTTCTTAAAGGATAACTCCCTGTAACAGATATTTATAAACAGTAATGTTAAGCTAGCTGTTTGGATTTTCTGTACTTCAAATGAGCTTTATATTGAGATCTGATTTGAATGTTTATTATTATTATTATTATTATTATTATTATTATTACTCCTCCTCCTCCACCTCCTCAATGTCTGTGGAAGGAGAGTCATGAGCACATAAACTGTAATTGATGTTATTGGCCTAGTGCAAACATAAAAACAATTATGATGCTTTTTTCTGTGAGAACTTGCTTTAAGTTAAATACCCTTCTATTTCTGTCATTCTTTAGTTCTGGTTCCCTCCTCACTTTTTGTATTTCTCTTGCTGAACAGGAATGTAAAAGAACAATATTGGTTACAATGTACATGCAAGCAGGAAAAAACACCATATAGTGATACCTATAAACTTAATTTGTTCTGGAATTCCATTCTTAAACCAAAGTGTTCTTAAACTGAGGCATGCTTTCCCTCCCACCGCCAGTGCCCTTCCACTGTTTGTCTTCCAGGGCAGAGTTCGCTAACTGCAACACCTACTTCTGGTTTTGCGGATTTCATTGTGTGAATAGTTCGTTAACAGGACTGTTTGTAGACCGAGGTACCACTGTATTTCCATGTCCACATTAGCAGCATCTATTCATGTGCTCCCATTGTGCAAAGGGAGCTAAAATGAACTTTTAGTATCACACATAAATATACATAGTTCACTTTAAAACTGTTTCCTGTATTGGGATGGGGGAGTCTTCAGTTGCTATCCAACTAAGGGTAAATCCATTGAAATTAATGACTTTAAGTTACTAACAATATATATCGCCCTTCAGCTTTAAAAACCAGTAACATTTTATGTTTCCTAAAATTTATTATGCCTTTGATATAGCTGAATACTTCATGAGAATGATTCTATGCATTATTTTGCAGTTAAACACTGCAGAGACTCATTCAAGTTAAATGACTGAACATTTGCATATTGTAGAATGCTTAAATATTCCACAATTAGCCCACAATAGTTTAACTACATCTAATATACAGACTCATCTAGATCAATTAAAAGTGCTACATATAGCTCTTGTTTCCTCTGCAAACAGCTCCAACATACATAATAATTTTTAAAGGAAAAACAGCAGTCACTAATACTTACTTAGGGGTTTGAGCCTTAAAATCATATATTGCTCTAGCTGGCAGTCTCTGAAATGGAGGGAAAGAAATGAGTCTACATGAATATAAATATTTAAATGTTATGTTGAAAACTTTGCAAAGAAGGGAACCATTTAAAAATCTTTTTTATGTAAGCCCTTAAGTAAAAGGCCTAACATTTTAAAATAATAGTGCCTCCAATGTCTCTTATTAGCATTTATGCTATAAATGATTTGTCTATTATTCAGTTAACTTATTTAAGAGACTTTTATATTGCTTTTTAACTGCATGGCATACTTTCCAACATCTGGGGGATGAAAATCAGGATGAACATTTTTTTAACAGGATGATTAAAGAGTGTTAAGGAATCAGGAGTCACAGATAGGCCAGAGTCCGATGATTGTTGCCTATATATACGCCAGATTAGAAGATCCCCCCAACTTTCAATCTCTGGACCATGTGTCAATCCTTTTCAGTCTTTCTCGCCCCACCAATCCTTTCTCCATTGTCTGCCTCTCCTTTCACACCTGCCTGCCCTTGCCCACCTCCCTGCCAAAGCTCCCAATTTGAGCCGCCCTGCTCAAATTGGGATGTTTGGCAGGCATGGTATGGCACCTATTTAGTTTTTTGGTACCTGTGAGTATCAAATGTGCAATGGGAACCTGAGGGTGAGCCTTACTCCATAAATGCTAGTGTGCCACGCCAGCCACTGTTGAGAGTGACAAATAATCATCTATCTCACATAAATGCATTTGTCATTGGAGCCCCCTCAATGGAGACACAACTCTGTCCCCCGACATGTTAAATGCATTCATGCATTTAACATTACAGGCAGTTAGGCCTTCAGAGACAACATCAAGACTTCTGGGGACCAGAATCTCACTTTCTTCTCCCTTTCCTTTTTCCATCCTAGTTCCATTGTGTTGGCAAATAAATTACTGTATACACTCGAGTATAAGCCAACTTTTCCAGCACATTTTTTATGCTGAAAAAGCCCCCCTCGGCTTATACTTGAGTGAGGGTCCTTTTGGGCTGCTCCTTCCTCCTCCTCTGCCTTTGCCACTGTCGGCGGTGGTGGAACGAGTAGCCAAAAAGCAGCCCTTTTGGGCTGCTTGTTCTTCCTCCGCTGCTGCCACCACCAGCCTCTGTCTCTTGGCAGAACCCTAGGTGGGCAGGGAGACGGGAGGGGCTGGGGGGGGAGAGAGAAGCCCCCTCTGCTGTGAGCGCATGCACATGCACACACACTCCAGCCCACCAGGAGGTTTGTGGTGTGGTGAACCACCTTATACTCGAGTCAATAAGTTTTCCCAGTTTTTTTGTGGTAAAATTAGGTGCCTCGGCTTATATTCGGTCGGCTTATATTTGAGTATATATGGTACCTGTTTTGTAGCACCTGGGCAAGAAAAAGTACCATTGATAAACAGTGGACTTTTATAAATGTCAGTGACAACTACAGAGAATGCCTTTTTTGGGTTCAAACTCTTTTAAATTATTCATTTTCTTTTAAATACCTCTCTCTCTGGAGTTCCTCTTCTTTCCTTTGGAGCACATCGACCCACATCCGTGAAAGCAGAATAGTTCCCAGGAGACTCCTGGTCTACTGAAAATAAGATGCCACTTCGTGAAATTCAGTTTAATTAAAAATAAAGCCGTTGGGCTCTATTTGAAGGGGCACTACATCTAAATTATATGCAAAATGCAAGTCGGGGCTAAAAAAATAAAAACCAACAAATGAAAAGGACAAACAGAAGCTAAAAACTGAACTGTGGGAAATTTCTTCCACTAATACTTTATGCTTTAAAACTGAACTTGAGCAATTAAAGAGCAAAAGCAGGACCAGAGCACCCTAATTCTAACTTGTACAACAGTGATTTGAGCAACTAAAGGAACAGAAGTATGAGATATTAAGGATGCAAAGGGTAAGAAAAGCATAGCAATGAATCATAAGATTTTAAATATGGAACCACATGCAAGGGAATGTATCGGATACATGCCACAATCACAGAAAGGTGAACTACATGACATTTTTCAGATTATCAATAAGTATGCATTCCTCTTTTATATAAGTCCAGAACTAGACAACTAGGATCACAACTGCAACATCTATCTCTGAGCCACTTTCTCACTGAAAATCACTCCCACAGCTCCTGTTCCCCCAGGAAGGTGCCATTTCCCAAAAGAGCATATTTGGGGGCAATTTACAGTGGTAGAACAGATGATGAAGAGTAAAAGGTAGGGTAAAAGGTAAAGGACCCCTGGATGGTTAAGTCCAGTCAAAGGCGACTGTGGGGTGCGGAACTCATCTTGCTATCAGGCCAAGGGAGCCGGTGTTTGTCCACAGACAGCTTTCCGGGTCATTTGGCCAGCATGACTAAGCCGCTTCTGGCACAACGGAAACACCGGGACGGAAACCAGAGCGCACGGAAACACCATTTACCTTCCCATCGCAGTGGTACCTATTTATCTACTTGCACTGGTGTGAACTGCTAGGTTGGCAGAAGCTAGGACAGAGCAACGGGAGCTCACCCCATCGCGTGGATTCAAACTGCAAACCTTCTGATCAGCAAGCCCAAGGGGCTCAGTGGTTTACACCACAGTGCCACCCATGTCCCTATGAGGAGGAGTAAAAGTCCTCCCTGAACTGCACGATTAAACTCAGATCATCCCTACCCTTACTTTTATTTCTAGAAAGAAAACCCCCAGGCTAGATGCTTACGGAATGAATATGCACATAAGTGGAGAGCACTCGGAGAGCCCTAGTGGCTTGTGAGGAGACCCTCCCCACAGCCTAAAGAGGATGTGCTCTTTGGGCTCCAGGGAGGGTCTTCTTGCGATCTGGAGGGGCAGTGGAGCTCTGTTGAGGCTGCTCAGCCTCCTCACCTAACAGCTTACAGTTGTTTCAGCAACCCATAGTTTAAACTAACCAGAGCACACACTGAGCGTGGATCCAACAGAAAACTAGTTAGTTAAAAATGGATGTTTCCAAATTCTTCCTTGGAGAAGGGGAGGGGAGTGCACAAGCCTGAGGCTTGCTGCTGCTTGTGCACATAATGCTAATTTATAGATTAGTGTTATGTGTAAAACAGGCCATTGTAGAGTTGAATATCTCAGAATAGTATTCTGTGCAATTAATATATACCAACATCTTTTTGTTGTTGTTAAAATGGGACGTTAAGCTAAGTTATGCAAGATGGAACTGTTAGAAATGGCTATCAATTCTCCTTGTCTTTGTCTTCTGGCCTTTGTGCCTCTCAAATCTGAATGGAGGCATTTTAAAATAGTTAAAGAGATCTAGTTTTGCCACCCTCAAAAATGAATAGTTGTACAATGGACACTTCTCTTAAAGGGTCTAACATTCTATTTACCTAAAAAGGGAGGGTTAACTGAGCAACGTAAAAATACGTTTCAGCTATAACTGTGCATACTCTTTGTGAGCCTAGTTAGAACTAGTTAAAAAAGCACCTTTTCTTGCATTGTTTAATGCTATTATTGCACAACATAGCTTCTCTAATAGCTTCCCATGGTCTACTGCCTATGCATTTTATTGGGATATTTTTGCCCTGATCATAGGCATCTTCCTACCTTTAAAAACTCTGGGTGAGGAAATTACATCACTTCCTTGGGAGCAGATTTTCAAGGGTGTGACCTTCATTTCCAGTATGAACCACAACTTTACTATTTTAGAAGCCTATGAAGATCTGATAATTGCATCTCTATGCACAGATAGCTTTAATTTTACACTCATCAATGAGCCTTTCACTCCTATGACTTTTTGCATAACAAACAATTTGTTTCTAAAAACACAATATAAATGCAATGACAGTGGGCTGGAAGTGAAAGGATAGGGGGTGGATGACTCAATCACAAGCATAAAGAAAAGGAGATAATCAACCTTGGAAACATAGTGCACTATCATTTTCTTGGCTGCTGCTGTTGGTTGTTTCCATGTCTTGGTAAGAGGCACTAAGTGGTAATCTTCCACATTCGTTCTGGTACAAAGGGCAATGAATAGCACCATCTTGAGGCAGTGGATGAAAAGGCTGGAGCATGGGACTCTTCCTAAGAGCTTTAAGGGAGGAATTCCTCTCGGGAATGTCTGGAAGCAGCTCAGAAATAAGTCTGTGCAAGATGCTGTTGTCAGGCAAGCTTCCCCTTCTTCTTTCTGCTTTGATTTGGTCACAGATATCTTTAAGCGCAGAGTCCAGAGCGTCAAAGACAGCTGATTTGCATTTAGTCTTTTCAGCCTGCTTTTTGGGGGCTGCCGTTTTTTTCCTCCGGAAAGGCACTGGGCTGACTAGGAATGCTATCTTAGAGAGGCCAGAGTCAGAGTCTTGTCTTCTAGGGTCTTCTGGGGTACTTTCTTGTTTAGCCCTTTCATGCTTCCGCATGGTGGTGAAGCGGGTGTACGATGCTGGGCACCTCCCTTTGCAGGAGCTGATGAGATGCTTGTGATGGTGATGGTGGTGGTGGTGGTGGTGGTGGCCCGATCCATAAAAGCTTTCCGACGACGTAAAGGAAAAGTGGTCAAAATCACTTTCACTACAAAAGGAAGAGCCTTCTATCTGTATAAAGTCACTGAGGTCAGAGACCACCCCATCTTGGTCACTGTCTGAAAAGTCCAGATTAGATCTCTGCGGTTCCTCACTAGTCACTTCAATGTGAATTGGCACCAGAGTTTTAGATTTGTAATTCCGTTGTACCTGAGTAGCATGCCTGCCTTGGTTTTCCTCCTCCAGCAAGGACTCGATGGAAAACCGTCTCTTTGTACAGAAGCCATTTTTAGGGGGTTCGAGGAGGGTTACTGCTGACAGTGCTTCTTCAGCTAAGTTTGGCATTGATTTTGACTTCTGAATCAGCTTTTCAAATTCAGATATTCTATTGGGCACCATGTCTCTGGGCACTTCCTCAGCAGAGGAGTCTTTCCAGCCCTGCAGCAGGTCTTTATGCTGTTCCTTTTCATACTGCAGTACCCTGGACTTTACAGAACAGATTACCTCAGAATTCAGCAAGTCTTTCCGATTGATACGGTGCATCCTCTTATACATTTTCAGGAAGCCAGGAGCGTCGTGTGCTGATCTATGACGTGCCCGTGAGTGACTGGAGCCACGGCTTTCAGAAGCGTATGGGGAAGCCCAGGTAAGTGTGGAGCCACCTTTCGAATCTTCCTCACATAACAGAGACACCATGCTTTCCGATTTATTCTGTGGGTCAGGAAAGCTACAACGATCATCGGCTAGCAGGTCATCACAACTGCGAGATTTCCGCTTGGGAGAGGAAGTCTCTTCTGTGCTGCTCCAGATTTCTGCATTCTGACGGGACATTTGCCAGCCATTCTTGTAGCTGATTGCCCTTCTTGAGTCACTTGGCACAGCCAAGCGCTGTCCATAGGTTCTACAGTAATCTAATTCATTTGAGCTGCTGTAGTTGGGCACTGAGTAACTGGAAAGGGGTGAACACACTTTGCTAATATCCCCACCTTTATAATCCACAGAGCAGCATGGTGAAAAAGAGACATTGCCAGAAATTAAGAGATTCAAAAGTAGATAGGAAATAAGACAATCAGCACATGCCAGAAAGAACAGAGAAAAGGCAGTTAGTCTTCCTAACCTAGCATTAAGCACTAATGTAAGATACACATTACCAAAGCATAGGGGATGAAAAACAGATCTAAGCATTTATTAGACCCTGGGCTGCAATCCTTTACACACTTACTGGATGTAAGCCTCATTGAAATCAATGGTACTTACTTTTGATTGAGTAGACAGGTATAGGATTGCACTGTTAAAATCTAAAGGTTCAGCAAATAGAATCTCATGCTTCTACTAGCAGTTAAATATTTTTATAGGTTGCAGTGGGAGGACCGAGCACCTGTTTCCAGCAAGTCTACCAGGACTGTCTCATTTCTGACCATATGAAAATCCATGGGTTTATACGCAGTGATCATGTCACCTCTTTAGGGCAATCAAAGCAGACAAGTCAAAACACACATCCTGTTCAGAAACTGATAGCAAGGCATAGCAAGAAATGTAGAGACAGACTTCTAACCTAGACACTTCTAAACTATCTTTCCCTTTCCTCAAGAGGCTGCACCCTTGGTAAGATATATGATGGATTCAGTTTAACTGTGAACAAATGAGAGTTGGTTATTATAATGCTCTAGTAGCCACAGCCATAGCCTACTAGGAGGTCTCGTATGTAGGGGGGGGGATGTGTGCCCCCCCATTTATTTTTGAGATCCAAATCCTCATTCAAACTCTTGTGTATGACAGAAGGTATAACATTCTTTATATCTTCAAAAATAGAACATTCTTTTCTGTCCAGACAACAGAAGAAATGCAGTTAAATGGCATGTCATACATTACAGTCACAAATGCTGACTGCATTTAAAAAAAACAGAATAATCTTCATATAGAGAACTTTTTAAAATACCCAAACCCCAGAGGATGAATATAAATATAAGCACATAATTTTGACTTCTTGCTTGTAGACATTTGAGAGATCAGTGAATGCTTACCATCTAATAGTATTCGGCATCCATCAACAGCTCATCAATATTTTGCAGTTTATAAGGAATGTTTGTATAATTACATCATAGCCTGTTTACAACTGTGCTAATTTCTTACCTTTTGCTTTTGAAGGAGACGATGGAGAAGAGGTTGTAACAGGCTTCCTAAGTGTAGAATATGTGCTCTGCGTATTTGTATGGCCCAGACTAGTCCGATTTGCATTTTGATCACTGTGTGCCTTCTGATGAGGTACCGCTGGCTCAGACTTCCTTCTTTTCCTGTAGTCACTTGCAGTACTTGTTGAACTAAGGAAATAAGCAGTATGAGTGTCATTGCACAGGACGCATTAAAAAAACTTCAGTGATGTTCTCTTCACCCAGTGCCGACTTAATTACGTAGTAATAATAAAAACCAAACAACAAGATGATTAGGCCAAATAGTGTGACAACAATCTCATTTTGAACCCGATTTATTTGTTTACATGTCTCAAGCTCTTTTAAGTTGGCAAGAATCAGAGCTGGGGTCTGTTGGTTGACAACTTTGTGGCCTTGACTTCTTTTTGACAGCACACAAAACATACAACACAAGTTCCAGTTCCCTACAGCATCTGTGGGATGCTCTTTTGCAGTTTAGCAACTGAATGGACAATGTGAAACATAATTACCAAACTATGATTTTGTGGAAGAACAGAAAGCTTCCTGAAGCACTGCATGACACTAACAACAACAAGTCCAGTTATAGTGACAGTGTAACCTGCCTGTTTTTCACTTCCAATTAGGGGGTACCTTAATAAATTCAAAGCATTTTCCAAAACCATGGTTTCCCGGCAAGAAGGAAGGCTTCTACTGCTGCCATATAATTTACAGACAGTTGACATAAGCCTAATGGAGAGCTGGTGATTGCATTATTCTTAATCTGAATGCACGATAAACATGGCTAGCAGCAACATACATCCTTTCACTTCATGGGTTTGGCACTTGAAAAACAACACAAAATGAGAATGCAAACAATTTAACCACACTAACAAATCTTGCGATGGAGGTGCTGAAAACAGAGAGGAGGGAAATTTGATGGTGTGTGGAGCATCAGGACAAATTATGCTTCATATTCAAACAGAAAGGGACAAGAACAGATTATTAGATTTGTACTGAGGTAAGGAGTAAGGAAACATGCATATCAGTCTGGGCATAGCAAAAAAAGGGAGGGGTGGAAAATGTGCTTTACCCAAAAAGGCTATATGGAAATGTCTTCCTGTAGGAGGAAGACCAAGTCCATTTACTTTAAAATGCAAGCTGCTCTATAGATGAGCAGAAGTCTCTGTACAGCCCCTCCCCCCCCCCCCCGTTCATTGATCAAAGTTATTCTTACCTAGAAGGTCTGCCCAAGCCTCTGTCTGTTGGACTGTAATATAAGGAAGTCTGGAGGCACAAACAAACAAGACAGTTAGCCTTTCATATGGGATTTCACTGGTATAATTCATAAGAAATCACTATGCAATGACCATAGGAACATCATAATTTATCACACCAAGAGAAGCTTGAAAAATTAGAAGAGAGGCAGCTTTCAAAGTTAATTTTATGTCCCTCATTTAATACCTGAAAGGTCAAGCAGCAAACTGTTCCTTTTTAAGCTTGTTCCCAAAATGGTAGGTGCAATGATTTACATTGGCTAAAAGGTGGAAGCTATAAAATCTCAGATAAATCAATCAATCAATCAATCAATCAATCAGTAAATGAGAGACTTGAGATATCCTATAATTACTTACCAAAGTATTAATGTCAAAGAAAGCTTGAAATTCTCTGTATACATAGCTTACACATCTATAACTTGCACGGCCACTTGGTGACCTTCTTAACTTCATGTTAAGAGCAGAGTTGGTCCCACCAACCTAAAGACTTTTTCCGTTGCTTAAGAAGTGACAGCCGAATGACCTTTGGGAATGCAAATACTTAAAACTTGTCAATATATGCTCAGTCCTTAGTGACACACTATTTTTAATCTAGTCACTTAACTGGTGTGAAAGCTTGCGCTGGAATTAGACACACATCGTACTACAGTTTGTGGGAGCTAGAAAAAGAATCATGTTATCCCAGGGACATCTTTTCATGGGCACAAAACTATGCATTCACATATTAAGCATATTTTACATTCAGGCTATGTAATTTCAGAGATGACCCAAGGAACTGAAAATAGAATTTTCACACTGTGTGCTACTGTTCTTTGTGGAAAAGCAGGAGGTCAGGCTGAAATCACACATAAAATGTATTATGGGAAGCAATCGCTATTGCATTGCATCTGGGTGAACCCATTTACTTTTGGCAAGTGACAGCAGAGCTTGTATTCGTATTTACATTTTAATTTTCTTATACATCACTTCAGTAATTTCTTTTTTCGCTGCGCCGAGAGAGACGGCAAAAGAGATTTTGCATCACCACCCACCCAGAATGGACTCCAGAATTTATTGAGCCTGGGCACCAGACTATTCCTGTGTTCCGTCCTCTTCCTCCTTGCTGTGCACCACCCTAACAGTGGGGACTGGGAGCACAGCAGGAGACAAGGCCGGTGGACTGCTGAATCTGCTCTGCCTCTCATAGTGTTAGTAGCTATTCTGGGGATCCAGTCAGCAGTGAGTTCCCTGCCAATCTGCAGGCTCTTGCCAAATGCCTAAACATGCTGACTACTGACATCAGGGCCTTTTACCACAACTGGCATTCATTACAAATGCATTGTATAGTAGAACACAGAAACAAAGGAAGTTGCTATGTGCTAGCTGCCACCTAACCCAGTTTTGTCCATTCTGACAGACAATGGACGGCGTATCAGGCAGCGGCCTTTCCCATCACCTGCTACCTGGAGAAGCTAGGAATTAAACCTGGCACCTTCTGAATGTGGAGCATGAGCTCCACTACTGAGCTACAGTCCCTTCTCAGTAACAAGACCCAAAAGTAATTTGGGAACAGGATCTGTTGGAGATATTTAAGTACATAAGAAGAGCCAGCATCCATTTTTCACAGAGGTCTGTGGGAAGCCCACAAGCAAGACCTAAGTGCACCTCCTCTCCTGCAAATCTCAGAAACTGGTATTCAAAGACGTACTGCCTCCAACTGTGGAGGTAGACCATAGTCACTATGACTAGTAGCCATCAATAGCCTTTTCCTCCATGAATTTCCCTGTTTAGGGAAGTTTTTAATGTTTGAAGTTTTATTCTGTTTTTAGTGTTCTGTTGGTAGCCGCCCAGAGTGGTTGGGGAAACCCAGCCAGATGGGTGGGGTATAAATAATAATAATAATATTATTATTATTCTAACCCTTTTTTAAAGCCATCCAGGTTTGTGGCCATCACTGCCTCCTATGGGAGCTAAAATACCAGAGGAGCATACACATTTCCAACATCTCCAAAATGATTTTTCCCTTGGAAACCAAGTTATGCAGAAGTCGTTATCAACAAGTATTCAAGATCTTAATCATATTTTAAAGGCAGAGAAGTATTTTTGAACATAATAGAAATGCAGTTGAAATCTAGAAAATGATTTAATTTAGTATGCACTTTAAAAGTGTAACATTTTAAGAAAGTTCACACCCCCCGATTTGATCAGGAAATAGATGCTGATGAGACAAGACACTATGTGTA